ATCTTGCAAAAAGAGCCAACCACATAAAAAGCACCTTTTGTCAGGAAAAATATCTATGACATACAGAAGATTAAATAACTCCAATCTCCCTTTACCTGAAAAGAATTGAATATAAAACAATAAACTTCACATCCAAATTTTTTCAAAAAAATCTTTAGCATCACTCAACATGGAATAATAAACTTACCAAAAACAAATGACTGTGTTCTTAAAAGTAAATAGTACAAAATTTTCTACTTTAAAAATAGCACCAATGAAAGGGGATGTCTTTTTTCAGTTTAAAGGCCCTTAAACAAGTGATTTACCAAAACTCATGCAAACTAAATTTTGAATGACTTTTAAATCTCTTGTGAACTAGTGTGAGAAATTAAAAGAAAGTTTAAAAAAAAACAGTATTTGAAGCATGAAACAGCCAGCCAGGCATAGTCCCGCGTGTGCGTGCGTGCACACAGACACACACCCCTGCCAGGCATGTTTCTGGCTCTGCCGGCTGTGTCACCAGTCAGCAACCTCGACCACAAAGGGCGTCTTCACATCTATCTTGCCACTGTTGAGGATGGAACAGCTGGTGAGTGGCCGGTCATGCCCATCAGTTGCTAGGAGCTCTATGGTGTGCACCACGGTCTGGTGAGAGAAAGCAGAGAGGAGTCCTCAGTCCTGATTGGTGTTGTGGCGGTCAGAACGAGTATCAGACCACCCTGAAAGCCCAAGGGGGATGTGAATTTTACCATTACAAAAACCACACAAGCTAAGTATGCAGAATTCAGAATGTTCAAATAGAGATACAGATGACAGAGAGATGACAGGTAGCAGGAAGAGATTCACCAATTACCTTCTCAAAGAATATATATTTTCTCACTTTTAAAATAAAATTTTGATATTCTAATACAGTTAGCTATTTAGTAAGCATCTACCTCCAATAGAAAGCATTTTTAATTAACTGCCACAGAACAGTGTAAGACTAACATGGAATCAGAGTCAGTGTAAACTCCACCTTATACCAGGTCTAGGTATTATTAAAATGGGCAAGAAAGCAGATTAAAAGTTGACCTAGTTCCAAGTTCACTCATTTCCAAGTTTCCCAAGCTGTTAATCTGCACATTGAATCCTAGACTCCAACACCACAAATGTGGAAGGACCACTTCTCTCCTGGGGCAGCTTCCCAAGCCAATGTATCACTTAGGTTTTGCATAGAGGAAAAACATCACACATTGAGAAAAAGGCCTTTGAATGGGCCCTCCAAATAGTCTCCAACTCCATTCCTAGACTTTGGTTGAGTAGAACCAAGGAGCGGATAGAAGATGTAGAAGAGGGCTAGGGAGATGGCTCAGTGGAATAAGCGCTCTCCTGGCAGGCGCAAGGGCCTGAGTTCAATCCCGGTTCCACCAGAACTGCCATGAATAAGACTGGGTCATTCATGTTTGGATGGATGTTCAAAACAACTCCCATGAAAATGAAATGTGGAAGAGGTCAAGAGAGGCGAGGCTAACCAAGATCTTGGTTAACCAAAGATAACCAAGTTTGGGTTGGGCAGACTTAATAGTGGCCAGTTTCAGAGTTGAGAGAACTATTCTGAATAGCTGATAAGAAATGCTGGGAGAGGGAGAGGGAGAGGGAGAGGAAGAGGGAAGGGGAAAGGGAGAGGGAGGGGGAGGGGAGGGGTGGGACAGAGAGAGAGAGAGGGACAGGGAGGGAGAGGGATGGAGAGGGAAGGAGAGGGAGAGGGAGGAGGAGGAAAAGGGGGTAGAGAGAGAGTTTTCAGAAGTACTCCTATGGGATATGAATTGGATCCTTTGCTCTGGAGAAATAACAGCAGATTCAAAATCTCTTAGTAATTACTGGTTGCTATACTTCATGCTTTTGAATGTGACTTGGTGTCTGGACTGAACCTCACAGGTTCTGGATACAGTATTTTATTTTCAATCATGATAAAAAAACACATGAAATAAAATTTGCCATCTTATCTACTTTAAGTGTACAGCTCAGTAGTGTTAAGCATACTCATTACACTGTTATGGAATCTCCAGAATTTTTTCATCTTGCAAAACTAAAACTCTATATCCATTAACTATCAACCCCTGACAACCACTACTCTACTTTATGAATCTGACTACTTTAGATACCTCGTATAAGCAGACTCACAGTATTTGTCTTCTTGTAACTGTCTTGTTTCACCTAGGATAAGATTCTCAAGGCTGCTCTTTTTAAATATGCATCAGAATGTCTTTCCACATCAATATTGAATAATATTCCACTGTGTGTATATACAGAGCTCTGATTTTACTTGGTTACATTAGACAGGGCTTTCTATTTATAGCTACTAAAATAAATTACTTAATTTCTCCATGTCAAGACTTTGGCTTCTGCTCTAATGCCCCTAACAATTAAAATGCCATGACATTCATAATTTATTTATTAAGAGGCCAGTCAGCATATAATAATGGACCTAACAAGCCATTTAAAAATTTAAATGAATCAAATCACAGTACTTTCACAAACAAAGCTTTAAATAGAAAATATATCAAGTTACCATCCCATCAAGGACTTTCCCAAACACCACATGTTTGCCATCCAACCAGGTAGGCTTGGTCAAGGTAATGAAGAACTGGGAGCCGTTGGTGTCCGGCCCCGCATTGGCCATGCTGACCCAGCCAATGCCGTAGTGTTTCAGCTTGAAGTTCTCATCAGGAAATGTCTCGCCATAAATGCTCACACCTGAGTGAGAAAACACACAGCCAGGAAACCAGCCTCTGATGAAAGTAACTTTCATGGAATCATTTCTTACAGCCCTACAGGATGTGTGAAGGTGGCAAAGATGGTCAAACTCAAGGAGAGGACAACATTAACTCCCCAGGGGAAGCAGGACCCGAGGGCCTGAAACAAAAGCTTCTCATGTGGCGTAAGACAGCAGACGCTTCTGGTCTCAAAGGTCTGGATCTCAATTGAAAAAGTCAGTGATTTCTCCTCTGAAAGGAGAACAGCGGGCCAGGATTGTGCCCCACAGCCTGACAAAAGAGTGCTGAGCCATGCTAGTGGCTCTACCTTTGTCCTACGTCCAGGCACCTGTCCCAGGTTACTCTGACTTTAGCACTGAACCAGGGTACACCAAGCACTGAGCATATACCCTCAGCTTTTTATTCCCGCAACAACCCCACAGAACCAGTATTCTTGGTTTATTTTACTCTAGAAAACAAAGTTATAAAACTGAAAATTTGAATTCTGACTACCTACAGCTGGCCTAGACATCATTAAGCACGGCAACTCTCTAGCCCAGAAGGTAACAGAAACTGAGAGTCCCCAGGGATCAGCCTGTACAGAAGAACCAGCAGGACACACATGGTGTGGAGTGTAACAAGGTATAGCACAAGCCCCTTCTCAGAGGAACTATGGACTGTAAGAAACCTCTGTCCAGTCTCTAACACCTGGAGAGCCTGTCCTGCCTACCACCTCTTCGGCCAGCTTTTTTATCCCTCTACGGTTGGCAGCTTCAAAATTCCGGCTCAGTTATAAGGACCAGAAGTGGCCATCAGAGTATAGCAACTCAGAACTGACTGGTCCAGGACAAAGCAGGTTGCCTAGTGGGAACTCCTCCCAGAAGGCTCTAAGCTAAACAGAAATTTCTTTTCTTTAAAACTCAGAGAACTTCAGTCCAAGGCTCACATAAACACTGGGCATCAAAGGTAGACAGATAAAAACAGAAAACAGGGCCACGTAAGGCTCAGGCAGTGTTGCTGCCAGCCTGTGTGGCAGGAAGGAGGACACCAGCTCTGGGAGGACAATGCCAGAGCAGCAGGATTTTATGGGGAGAGCTGGCGGAGCGGCAGCTAGGTTCCCTCCGTGAGTGTCTCAGCAAAGCACATGACCTGGAGGAACCCAAACACATTTCTTCTTCATCCTATGTTCTCACATCATGGAGCAAGAGCAACAAGTAATCTTCCCAGAGTGCCTGGCAAACCAAAGAGCTGAACGGTAGCTATTTTTGCTGTAAATAAATAAACCACTGCAACAAATATAAAAGGAGAAATGATGTCTGGAATAGCCCGTTTCTGCAAGAAAATATCCACCAAATGCTTCCTGCATTTACATCTTAAATGCAAATTACACTTAAATTCCATGAGGTTACATATGCAATGTGCTTGGGAAAAGAACTCTCATGTGTTTCAGCAGGAAGGGAGTCCACGGAGCTGGGAAATGACAAGCTAAAGGGGATTAGAAACTCTAGAAATTTAAAAGTATTTGTCCTTTATTGAATTTTAACTTTGTTTTGAAGACTCAGTATATACTGATTACTCAGCTCTCACTTAAATTTATTAGTAGAAAAGGTGACAATGCCAGATGTGGTGGCACCTGCCTATAAAATCCTTATAGGTTCTTCCTTAAGTGTGGAACTTCAGTATTTGGGGGATACCAAGGCTGTGCCTCAGGCTTAGAAGTGAGGGAAAAGAAAGCACAGGAGCCCTTACCCAGTGCCACCTCCTGCAGTGAAGTCCCCAGTCATTGTGGAGGCTGAGGCAGGAGGCTCACAAGTATGCAATCTGCCAGAGCAACTCATTGAGACACTGTCTCAAAATTTTGTAAGGGCTGAGATATAGCTTAGCGTCAGAATGCTTGCCTACCGTGTGTGAGGCCCTAGGTTCAATGCCTAGAACAAAAAAAAAGGGGGGGGGGCAACAACAAAACGAAAGCCTCCTAGAAGGGTGACATTCACACTCACATGTGGCCTCAATTCCAGCTTGTCCTTCTGGCACTAGGCCCCTCCTCCTCGGCCACACCCACACGCTGCTAGCAACCAGCCCAGGGGACCCTCAGCTTTTTATCACGTCTTTCCTGCAGCAGACACTATTCATACTGCTATCTGCTAGTGGTCTAGTATTTTTAATAACCGTAAAATAGTCTGCCAAAGAAAATCTGCTCCACTGTGGGGAGGCAATGAATGCCAAACCAATCCTATTTCGTATTAGGAAGTCTCTCTCACTCATCCTCATTTGCTAGTATTCTGGGAAATGAGGTCCTCAAAAATCTACACTTCTTAAAGAATCAGAATGGTCCTTATAGGTTTTTCCTTAAGTGTGGAACTTCAGTATTTGAGGGACACCATGGCTGTGCCTCAGGCTTGGAAGTGAGGGGAAAGAAAGCACAGGGGCCCTTACCACCAGTGCCATCTCCTGCAGTGAAGTCCCCGCCTTGGATCACAAAATCCTTGATGACCCGATGGAAGCTGCTTCCTTTGTATCCATAGCCTTTCTGAAGAGAGAATTTTGAGTGCATACACTAGTAGAAGTTACTCACACTCAAAGATAAACCCCAGTGTTCATCTGAAAATGAGAAAATTAAAGTATCTACAGAACTGATTAGGTCCAGCAATGATCTACTCACAGAAACTTATCCATAGGTGACCAAACAATAAACTATGCAAGTAAAGTTATTAATTTAAATAAAGAGTGTGATCTGCAATTTCACGGATTGTTTCCCCATTTTTACAAGTGTAAAGGCACTACTTAAATGAGATTTTACAGGAAAATAAAAGATAAGATGTCACAGATTCAAGTGACATCATAATTTCATACTTATTTTCCAGAAAGACAACTTTATATTTGACTCTTCAAAAAGACAATTGTATATACAATTAAAGGACATAAAACTCAGACCTCTCCTGTTGCCAGAGCAACAAAATTTTCCACAGTCTTGGGTACAACTTTTCCAAAGAGGCCAATCACAATTCTGCCCACATCTTTGTCTCCAATCTTCACATCAAAGAAGACCTGGTGGTAGTTGAAACACAGTAAAGCTTGTAACTTGGAAAGGACAAAATAAAACGAGGGTCAAAATTAACATCTGTGAACTCATGGGAAAGACTGCCCCCTCAGCAAACAAGGCATCAATTGAAACAACTGTGTGGGTGTGTTTCACTCACAAACAGTCATTCAACAAGCAATCACTGAACATCACCTATGAGCCTGGTGCTATCCTGAGCTTAAAGCTTGATTCCTTCTGAACCAGGAGTATCACGAACAAGACTTTGGGAATTCACTTCCCCTTCAGCCCCTAGCCAAATGCTGCTGCTATTTCCTGTTTCCTGGCTTTGTGGATGAAGATTATAGTGGCAAATGCACGCTTATTCATTTATGTTGTGGCCAGCTCAGCTCACCCTCAGGGTGCTGGCATGCCATGTGATGTCCAGGATCAAACTGGGGTCCCTGTGCTTACCTAAGCAGGTGCCTTAGACTGTTGAGCTATCTCCCCAGCCCCCTGATGCTCTTTTAAAAGGTAATGCTTTCTAGTCTATGAAGGAGAAAAGAAAATGGTGAGGAGAGAGGCCAACTGTCTAGGTTTATTTTTTATCATTTCAAACACTGCCAAATGTCCAGTGAGTTCATGACAGACATCTGCTGCCAAGGGGCTTAGAAGACGGTGAACACACAGCAACCCGCCAAAGCCACCCTATAAAGCGGCCACCCCTGCCTGGCCCAGCCTATGCAACAGGCAGCAAACATAGCTCCAGCCCTGGCAAAGCGCAGACACCGCATCCGTGGGCCACACTCCCAAAGTCACACAAGTACTTTGCTCTTTCTGTGTCACATCTTAGAACCAAAGAAAGAAAACAGCCAGAAGTAAGTATGAGTCCCTTTTTTGCAGACTAAAGCTTGGAAGTTCCTTGGACTTTTAAAACACACAGTTCCATGTGAAATGAATCTATATGCGTTTTGCTTCACAAATCACCACGATTCTCAGACAGAGGCTTGAAAAGGCCACGGAGTCAAAGGGCATTCTATTAGCGAGTTTAGATTATATGAACCAATTTACTGTTTGAATGGGTAAAAAAGACATTCAAGAGATGGCTTTAAAAAATATAAGAAGGGTTGTCAAAGAAAAAAGATATCTTGCAGGTTAGAAAAATCACTAAGTAAAGACTGTCAGGCTTTCCTTCAGACAAGGGCTTCTGCCAATATGTCAGTTCACCTGTCACGGGTGATGTGATATTTAGGGTTCCGGGTGGCATTTCACAATTGTTACATGACCAAGGCAGCAAAAGTTTTATTATTATTTATAGAGAAGAGCTTTTTAGAATGCATGAACAACGTACCTGCTCTTAGGAGAGACCGACAGAGCAGGAAGGGACAGGAGGCCTCATATGCAGCCGGGCAGCAGCTTCTCTGGGGGTCTCCCAGGCTGCCTGGGAAAGGCTGAGGGCAGCAGGCCTGGGAGGACAGAGCAGCCTCCAAGGGCAAAGGTGGCACAGGCCCCACATGCCTGTACTTCCTGGCACTAAAGCAGCAGCAGGAAATGGGACCCATGGTCACACTGGGGTGGGTGCTGGGAAAGGAGCTCCCCAGCAGGTACAGAAGCAGAGGAGAAGCAGGCCTCCGAGATGCACGCTGTTACACAAAAGAGGGCAGGAAAGAAGTGTCTAGACAGTACTGAGGAGAAAACATTTGGAGCACCAGGTAGTAGCAGGGGACTGGAAGGATGGGCAGCAGAGAAAGGCATTAAGCACAGGGGAGAAAGTGGACCAGGAAGAAGAGGGAAGGAAAGAAAGACCCGCTCTGTGTCTCGATATGCTTTCCTTCATCATTTAACACACCAACACCCCCACTTTCTAGGTGGGGGAGCAACAATCAACTATTATGGCTGATTTACCATAAGACAAGTAGGGGTGAGAGAAGTCAAACAGTTGGCCAAGGTGTCCCATGGACATGGGAGTCAGAATTTCAATGCAAGGCTATGTCTCATTTAAACTGTGGCTTCCTATTCATACAGCTTTCCGGGTACAGACAGGGAACCCCTAAAGGCAGGCAGCAGTGTCTTCTATTCCCCACAACCCAGCTTCTGTTCCCCACAACCCAGCACAGTGTTAGCATAAGCAGAATGGGAAAATGTTCAATGGTTCACAGACAAGTAATACTAAACAAGGGTCAGGGTACACCCCCTACAGCAGGTGGGGCTGCATGGCAAACCTGACACCAGACTTCTCTCCAAGCCTGTGAGACCCCTGAACATGAGGCCCAGCGCTGAAGCCCACAGGACACAGAGTACTCGCACACTGGGACAGGACAAACAGGGCTCTACAGGACGGGCCACTCAGCATCTAGGAGGGCAGCGACCGTCTGTGGGGCTCATGGCTGCTGTTTGGGGCAGGAAGTGGCAGGTCTGGCCTCGCAGATGAAGTGTGCACCACTCACAGGTCCTGTGGCAGAACAGCCCCCAGATTTCTGTTTGTCAACAAAAATCACAGGAGAGGAAGAATGCCAGGGGAAACGATACACTGAACAGTGGCCAACTAATCTACTTTTCTGCACTCAGAGAAGTCATTTTTAATGTCATTTGCCTGTGTGGTTAGTTGTTTCAAAAACGTCACTGAGACAGAATCCAACACAGTTGAATCTGTAGAAGGCTTGCCTACGCAAATAGCCTTCAGAACTTCATAAAGGTGGTGGGAAAAACAAAAGTAGGTATGTTAAGTGGCCCTGCAGGAATAGAAGGCAAGAAAGACCCTGACAGTGTCCTGGGCCTGGACTCCCGCGGCCATGCCTGCCCGTGCTGGTGGTTCTTCTAAATGGTTCCCAGGCCAGGTCCTACCTCAGAATCACTAAGTGCTGTTAAAGGTGAGTGCCGGCCCCCACCCACGTGCAATGCCTATGACTCACTCTGGGATGCTGCCTGCATCAGTCTGTTTTAAAAGCACTTCCAGGTGAAACTTATCCCCAGATGTTAAGAGACCTACTCTAAAGACATTATTAATCTAAATTTACACTTATTGTTGGGGGCATTCTACATTTTATACGGCAATCTCTCTCTCTCTCTCTCTCTCTCTCTCTCTCTCTCTCTCTCTCTCTCTCTGACTCCATCTGAACAGTAATTCCTGTTAGATCTCCAAAATCCATCTCAAGTTTCTCCCTCCTTCCCCCATCCCTAACTCTTCCCCCATGCAAGCCGCGCTCTGGACTCTGACAGGAAGCCCCAATGGCCTCTCAGGGTGGTCTCACTCAGCACCACGTTAATTTGTCAAGAATACAGCAGAGCATGTGACTCTTGAACCCCACAAGGCTTACAGCAAGATCTCAGGTTATAGTTACACCGCCTCAGCGCCCAGGCACAACCGTGGTCTCTATGGCCCTGCAGTCTCACTACTGCCCACTGGCATCTCACCCAGGGCCACTCTCACCCGGCCCACTGCGACTCGAGCTCCAGCTGTCCTGCCCGCAGAACTTGCACGTTGGACTCTGTTCGCCAACTGTGCTCCTGCCAGGCTGGCTTTTTCTCCTCCATCAGGTGTTTCAAATGTCACCCATCTGTGTCACGTTCACTTCCTTCAGCACCTCACAATTCTCTAACTTTCGCGTTTATGGTAGGTGCAGACAGAACGCCTCCGTTCAGCTCTGCGGCCTCGCACAAACTTTTCCCAAAGCTAGCACTGCCTGCAGATCCAGGGCTACTGAGCAGAGCGCGCACTTCTCAAGGCTGAGTTTTTCGGCAGCAGCGCTTCAGGACCTCTGGCCACGTCTGCAGATGGCCGAGCCTCGTCTCCCGCCCGCCGCGGTCCCCTGGCGCCCGCGACAGAGCGGTGCGCAGGGCTCGGGCAAGGTGTCCTCCCGCTTGGCGTACCCCGACCGACCTGCGCCCTCCCGCTGATTCGGATCGCTGCTTCCAGGGGGCGTCCAGCAGGAACCCCGCAGGGGAAGGCGCCTGCTGCGCACTCTAGGACTTCCAACCCGATAAAATCAGCTCCAAAGAGAACCGAGCCGGCCTGGTATCAAGCTGTCAGGACCGAGAGCAGCTCGAGTGGACCCCTCAAGCTGTCCCCCCCGCCAGCTCTTTCTCCAGCTGCCAGCACCACCCTAACCCAGGCCGGACCGGACCGAGCCCGCACCACCCTAACCCAGGTTCAGACCCGCGCAGCAGAACGCGCCTTTCCTCGCCTCTCTTGCCCCGGCAAGCTCGGCTCTAGCGGAGGCGGCCGGACGCAGCGCCCAGCGATCTCCCGACCGGCTCCCTCGCCCTTCCTGCTTCGTCCCCAAATCAAGGCGTCGCAGAGGAAGTACCGGGAGGAGGGGCCGCCGGCTCCGGAACCCCGGGCGCTCACGTCGGCGCGCCGTCCCGGGAGACCGGGTCCGCAGCGGCCCAGCACCCCGAGCCTCCGAGAGCCCGGCCCCGGACACCCTCCCCACGTCCCGGCCTAGGGGCCCCGGAGGGAAGGCGCCGCCCCCGCGGTCACCTTGGCCGTCACCAAAGGGCCTCGCTTGCGCACGCCCGAGGTCCCCGATGTGGGCTCGAGTGCGCAGAGCCCCAGGCAGAGCACGAGCGGGAGCAGCCGGGCTCCCGAGCCCATGGTCGGCGGCGTAGCAGCTCGGACCTCGGCCCCACAGCCGGCTGGGGGCAGGCGGCGGCACTGCGGGCTGCGCCTGCGCGCTGGGAGCGCGGG